TCAACCAACTAAAACTTGGCACAAAAACGCCTAGTGGCTATACAACCAGTCTCAAACAAGAACAAAGGCCAATATGGCCGGATGGTTGCTTATTTTACAAAACCGCCTGTCCCAACATGGACAAAGGCGTTCGGCGACACCCCTCCGGGTGCAATCGTCGTAGAGAACAGACTATTCGTCGGTTCTATGTACCAACGCAGACAGAGAAAATTGAAAGACCAAATTGGTCAGCTCATAGCCGTCTGACCAGAATAATCTAAAGAACGAATAATTTACCGAAAACCGGATGCCCTGAGGCATTAGTCGGTCATCGGCTGATGTTCTTACTTAGGTTATTCGGTCATCGGCTGATGTTCTTACTTAGGTTATTTATTCCAAAGTTGCACTCTCTCCCTATTGGGGCAAAAGATTGTGTAATGGCTACGCGTTAACCCCAGACGGAATACAACCGCCTGAGCAAGAAGCTCAAAGCACCCGTTCTATTGGCCGGCTGTGCACTTGGTTTGGGCAATCACCATTGTGATTGATTGGCCTAAAAACACTCCATACTTCTTCTAGTATCAAGTGTTTTATTTCAAGCCAATCAATCCATTTGAAATAAAACCAACCACACAGCCGCCTAGGGGCAAGAGCACCCGGATTGCAAATTGCCGCATGCTTTTTTAAGATAGGCTAAATATTAAAGAATTGCAAACATACGCAAAATTCAAATTGAAAAAACTCAAACACGTTAAGTATAAAACAACCGACTGAGTCGGAATACTTCATTAATATTAAAAATGGCTTAAAGGCCATAAGTTGTGTTAACCGGAGTTACATCCGATGAGGAAACAAAAAATAAAATTGTTAACCCAACCCCATGGTTGGTAAAAATACAACAAAACATGGCATACAAGCCGGTAAGGAAACAACAATGGCATACTGCCGCAGAAAGTGTGGAGGCCCGCCTAAGGCTGAGGTGGTTAATGCTGCCCCTGCTAAGTTCGGCTGGTCTGGCCCTCGTTATGCTCATCCGCCGTCTCCTCAGTATCAGAGACTTCATATCCCTGCTCAGCAGCCTAATCCTTGAAGCGAGGCGGGGGAGCATCATCCAGTAGCTGGGCATCATACACCTCAGTGGCGTAATCATACCTCAGCTTATAGACCTCAAAGTCTATTTCTAGGTAAAGGAGGCTCCAGGTGATCTTCAGCCGGGCCAAGTTATCCCGCTCATTCTCCTCAGTCAGCCGTTTTTGCTCTTGGGCAAGCTCGTCCGACTACTTGATTCGCAGATTCACAAGTTCAATCCCCAGGCGGGTAACGTCTGCTCGGAGCTGGGCGTTCTCCTTGTCAGCATCTTCTAATGCCTTGAGATCTGATTTGGCATCCTTCAGCTTCTTATCAAGGTCATTAGCCCGGTTGTTAGCTTCGTCATTTGCAGCCGTCAAATTCCGGATCAGCTCCTCCTGTTTCAACTATACTGCTTTAATCTTTAAATTACACATATAATCAGAATATTCAGCAGATTTGAGGTTTTCAAGGGCCCTCCGTTTGGCGTCATTTACCTCTTACTGCTTCCGCCTGAAGGGGCCCCGGAGATTGTCCACTCTCAGCATCACCTGAGACAATAACAGCCGGTTTATAAGTTACCAGAATTAAGGATAAAAGATATCAAGGTGGAGGGGTTTATTACCTCAGCCAGTGGACCCATTATCCGGTCGAAGTCCACGACCTGCAGATCAGGTATGGAGTTCTTCTCAGACCGGGTGAGGGTCCTCACCATCCGTTTTGCAAACCCCGCAAGATCCGGCTCGTCAGAAGTCAAATCTGCATCAAAAGTAATACTCTGTGAGATAGAGGCAGCGTAGTCGGCACTCATCCGTTGCCGGCTGCTGACCGACCCTTTAGAGGGATCAACCTTGGTCTTGACTCTCATAAAATCAAGTGGCCAAGGTATTTCAATCCCTTCCTTACCTTGGGCTTCTGGATGGGTCTCTAGCTTCTGCTCCTCCCCAGGCGTTGCCGCACCGCCTGCAACATTAGGTGGCTCGCCACCCTTTGATGCCGTAGAGACATCCGGCGCTTTCTGCTGCGAGCGTTCTGAGCTTTCGCTTAGTTTTCTCAGCACAGCAGGGGATTTTCCCTCGGTCGTTGGACGATCAGATTGGGCAGATGATTGTGTCTGGGGAGGAGGAGGGCCCTTCCTGGCAGCTTTAGCAGCCGGAGTCTTCTCCAGATCGTCTCCTTGCCTTTTGAGCAGCTTGGAGAAAGATCGTGGGATCTTCTTGACGGACTCATGAGAAATAAACAAAGGGTAAGTATACCCAACCGGAAAAATTGTAAAAGAAAAGGAAATATGCAAACACATAAAGTCAGGCGGTCTTACCCCGCCTTTCTTGGAATCTTTAGCCTCGACGGCTGCCTTCTTGTCAAGTGCCGCCTCTTTGCGCAGCAGCGCCGCGGACTTAGCCGGTGTCTTCACCTGGTCTACCATTCTCAAGGCTTCGTCTGCAAGAACAAGAATCTAGGGTTAGAGGAAATTATGGCAAGTTTGCAATTAAAGTAAAATAACAATCATTCCGGATGAGAAGTATTCTACCCCTGGGAAACATGGTACTTAGCACGCAGGCGGACAAGAAGCATTCGTCCTTGAAGATGTCCGGATGGGGAATCCAGTTTTTGGGTACAATGATGTGAGTCCCATCCCCCATGGGCTCAGTTGTTGTTTCAAAGAATCCCGGCTCCATTATTTGCTCCCGAGCCTTAGTAGAAAGCGCCGGGAAAGGGTATTTACGTCCAAGAAGAGCAGGCTCGGTATTGTACCGGCGCAGTGTCCGGTTGTGTCTTAGGGTGGGGGAGGAAACCAAATAAAACTTGTCCTTCCACCCGGACCATTTGGACACTTTGTCCAAAGTCATCAAGTATTGGGGCAAGGTAGTTAGAGTATACCATGCCCCATGGCCGCCTGGGGCCTTGCTCAAGTAGTGCATATGAGCGAAGGCAGAAAAACTACGGTTTATATTTTGAAACTCGCAGGCGGCGATGTAACTTAGAATATTCACCCACGAGTTGGGGGTGAGCTGCCAAACCCCTACATCGTACCCCTTAAGAATTTTTTTGATTCCGAGGTGTAGGGGGAACCGGAGGCCGGCTTCGATAACCGCCTCGTAGCAGATGAAGTAGTCGTCTGCATGGTCAATGTCATCGCCCCAGGCCATTACGGCATCAGCCGGAGGAACGATAATCTCCCAACCCCTTCCAAAGGGGTGCTTTTCCTTGAAGGCCCTGAATCCGCTGTTGAGGAGGGCGATGTTACCCGGCAGCATCCGGGTCCTTTTAGGGTTGGGGTTGTCGGCGACCTTGGGCGGCTGCTGATAGTCAGCCGCAAAATTGTCCTGGTCCGAGCCGGAAGATTTGGCCTTGACCCTTGGCTGGCCTCAGCATCGTCGGCTTCATTAGAGGAGGCGGCTCCCTTGCGTCTACCTCTCGTACCCAGAGCTCCTGGAAGTAGAGGGAGCCTCTTCGTCAGATCCGCTCTCCTCCCAATCCCTATGTTCCCCGTCCAGGAAAACCTCATCGTCTGGCTCTCTCATAGTGCGCCGGCTCTTAGACCGTCTGGTCGTCTGTTTCGTTCTGGCCATTGTTTCCTGCACAGACACAGAGAGGGAGGAATTCGGAGATGAGCATTTTGGTTCCGACAGTCCAGAAGAGGCACCCCCTGTTCTAGACTCGGCCGTTCCGGGGGATCGGCTGAGTGTCCTAGGCAGTGCCGAGTGAGTGGATTGGGCACTCATGTATATTCTCTAAAAAGCTAGGTATATAGGCGGAGAAAAAATGGTATACAAATTGAAAGGGAGGAAAGCTAAAATGGTACAGGCGGTTACCTCGCTTTTTCTCTGGAAAAATCTGAAAACCGCTACAGCCGGTAAACCGGGTGTTGAATTGCTAGCACTCGGAAGCTTGAACTTGCTGTGACGCAGCTGGAAGTAGAGCACTTCTTTCTAGAATCTCTCTTTTTCTCTCTCTAAAAAGTCAAATGTGAACGTAAGGTGTGAAAAGGGGGGTGGGTAACTTTCTATTTATACAAAGTGAAAGTGGGGGGAAATTTTTGATTTGAAATTCGAAAATTTTACCCGTTACTGTTCACCCATGAAAGGTGGACACGTGTCACAGGCCCCACGTGATATGCACGTGTAACCTGTGAGGGGCAAATGTGTAGGGTAAAAATACCCTAGACACGTGGACCAATGAGAGGAAGCCACGTGTCGAGCTCAGGATGGCCCATGTGGCCTAACATCTTCTTGACACTTGGCACCCTCAGATATACCTCTGAAATTACGGCCTTCAAGGGCCTAAATCCCTAGAAGCGCCGTTTTACGGCGCAGCCCACTGAAAGTAGGTCAAGTGACCTCACTAGTACAAAACTAACCATAAGTAACACCCAAAAATTGTTACATAAAGTGGTAAAAGTGTTATTATAGACAATAGGTAACACTTTAATGGGTGATACATCCGCCCATGTTACCTAAGGTTTTATGTAACACTTTGGGTAACGTATGGTAACACTTTTAAAGGTGATACTATAAACCCTCTTAGGAAACACTTTTTTATATAATTAGTATCATTTTTAAAGTGTTACTTTTTATTTCTTATGTAACACTTACTTATCTTTAGTAACATTTTTCGATCATATAGTAACACTTCATCGGACATTATGTATCACCTTTGTGAACTAATGTGACACTTTATGTATTAATAGGTAACATTTTTCAATCATCTTTTGATACATAGTATCAATATATTTGACATTATGTATCACTTTTTGCAAATCAATGTAACACCTTGTTAATTTATAGGTAACATATTATTATTATTATTATTATTATTATTATTATTATTATTATTATTATTATTATTATTATTATTAAAGAATGTAATGGTCAACAGTTCAAAACCGACTTAGGGCTCCGGTTTTGAACCGGTGCCTTTTTGGGGGTTGCCGATGGGGCCAAACTGGCACCCTTAACATCAATAAAGGACACCGGTTTTTTCCTAGGTTGAACAAGTGCCCTTTATGCCTAAAAAACAGTATAATTAATAAACACACCATAATACATATAAAAACTTAGATATTTTTTATTAATAAATACTTGTAATATTACAATTTCATATAAAAAAAAAAAAAATTACGTGCAAATTAGTAGTAGCTCGAAAGCATAACAGCAGTTCAGAAGCAGAACATCAGCAACATGCAACAACAGCAGCAGCTCGGAAATAGAACAACATCAACTCAGAAACAGAACAACAGCAGCTCTGTCAGTCGGAAGGATCAGCTTCTGTGCATATAAACCCATTGCCACCCACCTTTTTGCCACCTCTCCAACTGCTTCCATTCCTAGTAACCTCCCAAACAGAAAAAAAAAAAGGGCTACAAGGAAATTCAGTCGCAATGAATGCAATCATAAAAACATATTGTGGACAATTGTCATATTTTAGCAATATAAAACATTTGAGAACACCACCTAACCTCCCTAACTACTGATGTACTTCTGTTAATTAACAACATTATAAGAATCGAATGCAATAGCACAAATTGATTAATAAGAGCATAAATTCTTCCCTTATCAAAACTCTCATTAATTAATCGGAGCATAAATTGATACATAAATAGAAGACAAGAAAGATCAAGTATGAAAATATACCTTTTTGGGTTTAGCAATCATCAGATAACTTTGGCAGCTTTTCGCCTTTGTTTCACATCCAAATAACTTGAAGGTTCATCAAACATATATATAACACCACTCCACAATAGCAAACCTTTAGATTATTTTCCAATATGCACATGTCATACTTTTGCAGTTCTGATACATGGAAATAAGCTAAGACTTCCTGCCAGTTATTCTAGAGAAAAACATACAGTATAAGTGTATTAAGTAGTAAACTCTAATAAGTTTCTCTTCCTATTAAAAAAAAATTGATTTACATGGTTGAAGGTCATCAGCTCATCACCATGGCATATGGCTACAGATTTTAACTGCTCATGACAATACATAGTTTAATTGCAAAAAAATTGCTTTCTACATTCCTAGACAGTAGCATATATATCAGATGAATTGAAACAAGTTTAAAGCCAATAGCAACCCACTCAATGTGCACAATCTCACAATCCAAACGATGATGATCATCTCACTATCTCAGGTATGAATTCCATGTTCAAGTAGAAACCAATACTGGCGAGATATGAGCTATTCACCAAAAACAAGAGAATTGAAGTAAAAGCAAAAACAAAAAAACAAGGGAAACTATATTAAGCTATCATGGAGCAAAATGAATCAGTAAGGAAATGAGAAGATCACCTCGAGTAATTAAAATGGAAGCTAACCTATTTCTTGGCAAAATATGAGTTATTCACCAAAAACAACAAGAAAACTGAAGTAAAAGCAAAAACAAGAATGCAAGGGTAACAATAGTACACTAATCATCAAGGCCTTATTATTCTCTATATTTATTTTTATAGATTAAAACTAATTTCACACACTAAAATCAGATATAGATTTTTGCTCATAACTGCATTTTACAAAGTACAACTGATTTTAGCTAATATTATGATCCCCCCACCCAAACAGACTCAAACTCATTCAATAAGCATTTATCGTAAACCAAGCCCAGTCAAACTCTGCATCGATTCGGCTACCAACATACAACTCATAGCCGAATGAAATTCAACAATTATTTATCCTTAATCAGTTTCTGAATAGAATCAATACAAGCTAAGACATTCATCAATTAAATTACATAAATCATCAATTCTAAAACAAATTTATTAATTCTACAAAATCTGAAATTTCACAATTGATTTTGGTGGAGAGTCATGTACTGCTAACTCATCGAATTTTCGGAGCTTTGATCAGTTGGAGCCTTAATACTCTCAAAAGGAGGGTGATTCATTACTCACTTCTATAGTACTTCAAAAGAATACAAACAAATATGTGACTAGTACGTGCTTCTAAGAACATTTATGTACAAGCAAGCAAATTTGATGACCAATACAGTACACACTCAAAAGAATACACAAATTATCCATAATACATAATGCATAAATAAAAAAAATTCACAAATTATCCATAATACATAATGCATAAAAAAATTCTTGAACTAGTAAAAATAAAAATAAGCAAATATAGAAATAATAGGGGAAAAACAAAAGCACCTTAATGATTGGTAGTTGGCTGGAAGAAAAATTGTCCATTAAACGGACAAAAAGAGCAATGAGGTGCTTCAGATACTCTCAAAAGACAAGCAAATGATACTAAAGAACTTCTTCTCATCTTTCCTCGAACCCCATAGTAGTAGGCATGTAGTATTAGCAGTAGTAATAGTGCTTCTCAATTTAACTACACATACACAACAATATCCAAACAACAACAAACATATTAAAAAGTAATCCACCTTTTAGCATTTCCCAAACCCAATTCAATCAAAATTTCATAGCCTCGTCATATTATTTAATAGTAGTATTATGATAATATAGAGAATGCATCCACTCAAATGCTCAAATATTCAACTTTCTTAAACAATTTCCTCTACAAACCTCATAATTCTACGAAAAGGAAAAAAAAAAACAATTTCAAGCTCGATTGAGCTAGGCAATATCAAAATATAGAGAACAAAGAACGACATTACTGATGAAAAAATCAAACACATTACAAATCAGGTTTAATTCAAAAAAGTGAATCACAGAAAAATTAATCAAAAAGTTCAAAAATTATCGAATTCAAAACATAATTAGAACAAGAAAAGACATCTAACCGATAAAATTCGTCGTATTTCCGGAAGGAAGGAAGGATTTCCGGCAGCAGCAACACCATCTCAAACGAATGAAGACGGCATTTTGTACTACTCGTCATATCTTCTTCGCCGCCGAATTGATCACCGTCAGCCGTAGGGGTTGTCTTCTACTCGTGGTTTGATGGTTAGATTGAGTTGGAGCTAGGGTTAGGGTTTGGTCGTTGAGTTCTTATTAAGAAATTTAGTGATGATGTTAAGAGGAGTAAGGATCTAAAGATTGGGGTGAAAATTTCAGAGAGTTTTTGAGGTTCTCCATCGAAGAAGATGGAAAGTGTGAATCGCAGAGGTATATGGAGAAAAGAGGGAAAAGTGAAGAAAGAGGAGAGAGAGAGCTAGCAGAAAGTGAAAGGAGAATGTGTGTGTGTGTGTGTGGTGTGTGTGGTGTGTGTGTGTTCCATATAAGTGCTATGACTCCTACCAATAATCAAAGTGTTACTCCTGAAAGTGTTACTCTATGTAAAATGTTACTTTGAAGTGTTACAAATTATATATGTGTTACATACAAGTGCTACCTATTATCTAAGTGTTACAAAAGTGTTACTTAAATATCTATTTATATCTTAACTTATAAAGTGTTACCATAAGGTGTTATATTAGGCCAACTTTGTAGTAGTGCCTAGATAGGGGCACGCTCTCCGAGGACCCTATAAATAGGGAGATATTTCCCCACTTGGGGGACACATTGAATCATTTATTACACCTGCATTCTCTCACATCAGAGAAATACCTGAGCTTGGAATCCGAGCAGATACCCACCTAAATTTCCATTCTCTCTATTCTCGTACAAGTTACTAACTTGTGCGTCGGAGGCGGAGCACCACCCAACCGGTGTCTCCGTTATTTTGCAGGTACATCTCCTCCGGATCAGGCTTCGTGACGTAACTCTCCCAAAGGACAAAAACACCCAAAACAATCATCAATTTCAATTATTCACGGCCTCCAGAAGAAGGCGTAAGTATAATGGTTAAGGTAACTTTAAATAGAGATTTCGAAGGAAATGTGGACAAACACTTGTATTATTGTTATAGGTTTGATTATATGAAGACTCTCTTGTTCGCGTAAAGATTTGAAGATTTGGGAGGATCGAAAATCAAGGAATGATACTATTCTGCTTCATGTGAGAAGACTCTCAACTATATTGGATTTATTGCATTAGAAGATCTCAAGTTATTTATTCACCAGGGGGAGAAATTACGCGCTGCACTCTTTTTCCCTTAACCATGGTTTTTGTCCCACATTGGGTTTTCCTGGTAAGATTTTTAACAAGGCATCATTTCGAGCGTATTACGAAGAATGTTGTACTCCTTTTCCTTCATTAGGTTTTTATCCCACAGGGTTTTTCCTAATAAGGTTTTAACGAGGCACAATCTTCGATAATGGACATACAAGGGGGAGTGTTATGAAATATTTGTGGATATCTGTTTCGGGGTTTTCTGATGTCCCGCGGGAGAGTTACAATACCGAGACTGGAACCGGACGCCTGTACCTGCAAAACAATGGAGACTCGTGGTGGTGGGAGCTCCGCCTCCAACGGTCAAGTTAGTACTTGATTAAGGAGTAATTAATGCGGAAATTAAAGTAATTGGATCTCTCTAGGTGAGAGTGTTTAATGTGAGTTTTTAGCGTAATCTGCTTCGTTAGCGTGATCAGCCTATTATCTCTGTAATTAATCTGTAATCTCCCTTAATGAGGATTAAGGGAGGTATTTATAACCTTGGGAAACGTGCCAATCCTAGGTTTAGGTTAACCTAGGGCTGATTGGGCTTCCCTCGGAAGTTGGGCCTGGGTGGCCGGTTTTCCCAGGTGTCATGGGAAGGACACATGTCGTGTCGTAATTGGTCCAAGGTGGACGGATCATTGCTTGACACGTGGCAGGCTCCTATTGGCCCATGTGACGGACACATGGCGGAACCTGATTGGTCCACTTGTCAGATGGTGATTGGTGGGAGCAAAATCCCCTAATCATTTGCCCCTCACAGGTGGCACGTGACTGGTCACGTGTTACCTGTGACAGGTGTCGAACTGTAACAGGCGACGGCCTGCTACAGGTGTCACTCGGCGAAGGGCCGAGAGATTCTCCCGCCCAAATTTTAAATTCTGGAAGTGACCCTTCGCCTTCTCACTTCGCCCATATAAAGGAGTGTTGACTTGAGTCATTTTCACACTTGAGAACTTTGTGAGAGAACATTCGGACCCCTGAACTTGCTCTGACATTTTGGACCTTTTCTGCCTACCGCCTGTTCTGACAAGCCGACTGCAAAGGATTTTCAGAACTTCATCAACCGTCACTCGTTCAGGTAACTGTCGGTTCTCTTACTCTTAATTTTCTTTTTATTTTTAGAAATGGCACCACGGAAGCACACGACACGACCTAGGTTAGTGATCAGCCGGTCACCGGGGACGGCTGAATCTAGGACTAGGAGTGCCGCCTGCCCTTTTCCGGACCCATCTTTGCCCTTTAGACAAAGTCCGACTGTATCTGTGTCTATGCAGAGCAGGATGGCCAGAACGAAAAAGACTGCTAGGATCTCAAATTCAGACGGCTCCTCCCACAGGGTGCCAATTAGTGAAACATCTGACCAGGCGCCAGATGTGGAAGTGAAACAAGGCGGCCTGAAAGCCGGCAATTCTGAGGGAGGAGTCATAGTGACCCCTTCCCATTTAACAGTTAACAATTCTGCTCCTTTTCAAAGAGAGGAGGCGGGCCCCTCCGGGAGAGGGGAGGAGTCGTCCTCTTCGGACTCGTCAGAGGGCGATTCCGAGTCTAGCTCTTCTGGCCATGCTTCTCTGGACACAGAAGAGAAAAACAGCCGTCTGCAAGAGGCGAGGCTTTCTCACGCAGTTGAGAAGGGGGACAATTGGGCGGAGCCATCCGCCTCTTACCGAGAGCAAAATACCCCCTACTACTGCACGGTACCTCGGGGCCGGATCACAGTCATGCAAGAGAAAGTGGAGAGCTTTATCGCAAACCACACAATGGGCCCCGACTTTTTAGTGTTTGTGCCGGATCCAGAAGACACAGTCGTCTGGCCGGCTGGTACCAGTTATGATAGCGCCTGCTTTGGCTGCTACGAGGCGGCCATCAAGGCTGGGCTGCGCTTCCCATTACATCCGGCTGTTCAGCGGATCTTGGATGGGTATGAGTTGGGGTTATGGCAGTTAGCCCCGAACTCCTGGGTCAATGTACTCGGCTATGTGGCCGGGTGCGAACTGCACGGGGTGGAGCCGAGCTTCGAGGCTTTCGCCCATATGAACTATCTCAGCCGGACCCCTAAGGAAGGCGGTACCGGCTGGTATCAATTGACAAGCCACAGGGGCTACCTCATGACGAGAGGTAAAGCAAACAAGTGGAAGGACTGGCGGAGCACCTTCCTCATCATTGAGAGTTCAGACACTGAGCTGAACAAGCGCTTCAATAGGTGAAACAGGAATCCGCCCCTTCTTGCAGGCGGCCGTAGCATGCCGCCTGTTCCCCCCAAGGCTAAGAAAGAGATCCTTGATAAAGGACTCTTTAAAGTAGAGTCGAAGGTCGACTTTACTTCAGGGGTACGAGAGCAAGTACCCCTGCACTGCGTCCCGAGCTTCAAATGGCTCTATGACGAGTACTTTTTGGCCGCCTGTGGCCTCAGCAGTCGGTGCTCAAGAGGTAGTCGGCCTGTCGAATACTCTGTTGTTCCATACATTTCTTGTTATGACTTATTAACTTTGCTATTTGTTTTTGCAGCGGACGCTATGAGCAAAATTACCGCCTCCAAGACTGCGGCGGCCATGTTGCGGGCCTCCATCATGCAACAAGCTTCAACCGACTCCCCCAAGAAGGGGGCACCCTTGGTGGGCTTCGAAACTTTCACCCTTTTTTTGGAGTTGTGTTTATGCATATACTGACTTTTTTTTCTTCTTTTGTAGACGGGTGCTCCAAGGGCTTCTTCTTCCCAACAGCCGGACCCCAAGGCCCGGAGGACGGATGTTGCGAGCTCTCCTGGATCTACCAGGAAACATGTGGCGGCTGAGAAACAGCCGGCCACTTCTTCTAAAACTCCAACTGGGCCGCCTAGAAGTATGAAGTTGTCCTTGTAAATTTTAGACTTGCTCCCTTTTTTACTAGGTCTAATCCGTTTGTTTATGCTTGATGCAGTCGGCCCTCAGGAGCCTGACTTGGTAGAGGTGGCCAAGTCTATGATCAGGGCAGTTCCTCCAGCTGAAAGGGAGGCGGTCAGGGGTGTCGGCACCCTTGACCTAGACGGGATTGCAGGGGTCCTTGCTGAGGTATACTTAGCATATTTTTGAGTATTTGAATTCCAGGACGCCTGTTTTCTTTTTGTTTGGAAACTGACGCCTGTTCCTTTGTACTTAGGCCCTGCTCCGAGTGAACGGCCTTCGCAAGCCGCTTGACCGGAAGAACAAAGAGGTAAAGGCTGCAAAAGCTATGGCCGCCTCTGACTGTGATAAGGCAATGTTTCAAATTGCCCAAAATGAAGTTCTAACCATTGATATTCTTTATTATCAGGCGCAGGCTACCGCTGCTGTTCGGGCTCAGTTAGAGGCGGCCCAGAAGAGGAATGGCGAGCTGGAGGAGACCATCACCAATCTCAAGGCCGAGCTGAAACCTCTTCGCCTAAAGATGTACTCATACGAAGCCTTGGAGAAATCCTTGGCCAACGTAAAGGAACACCTGGTGACCCAAGAGAAGAGTCTTACTCAGGAGCTCTCGGAAAAGGCCGAGCAAGAGAAGAAAGAGCTGGTCTGGAAGATGATGGAAGACTCCGCTCAAATCCAGCGCATGACTTGGGGCCGCCTCTTCCCCAATGCCGACTTTGCCTCATGGGAAAAAACGTACCGCCAGTGTTCTGATACATATAATCAAGAGATCCTGGCGGCTGCTGAGGAAGAGACGTTGGAGGAGGAGGAGCCGGTAGTGGCGCTTGTGCCGCTTGGGGGTAATGCATCAAAAAAGGATGCAGCTGAAGCCGAGTCCAGCAAGAAGAGTGCTGACCAGGCGGCAGCTGCTAATATTGAAGATCTGCCCCCTTCTTAAGCTTTATGTATTCTTTCCACGGCCTGCGTGCCGTTTGTTTTGTATTTACCCGGCCAGGGGGCCGGGGCTTTGAATATTTTGCCGGTCTTTAATGACCGGCTTCTTTTTAATGAATTTTTGTTTTGCTTCAAATTTGTCTAAGTATTGAATATTCTAATATCCAATTGTTCACTAGACCGACTGTTTTACATGGCTGATAGTTGCAAACAGGTACGGATAGTTAGTCACGCCGCCTATGCCCCTGGACGACTGGTTGTCTGTTTCCAGGATAGACGATCAGTCGGCCATTTATCCAATCGGTATTCGAACTATTTTAAAGACTAGATCCTTTTTAGGCAGGCGGTCCTGTCATTTGTAAATTTAACCAAGTAGGAAAGTGGTCTGACCAAGTGAACATGATTGTTAGTTGCCAAGGACCTTAGTA